CATGGACTCTACAAGGTGTCAAAAGCATTCCACATGGATGCTGGCCCATGTTGACTCCAACGCTTCCCACAGTTGTGTCAAGTTGGCTGGGTGTCATTTGGGTAGTGGACCATTCTTGATACACATGGGAAACTGTTGAGCTTGAAAAACCCAGCAGCGTTGCAGTTAAATATTTTGTCTTGCCCATTCACCCTCTGAATGGCACACATACACAATCCATGTCTCAATTGTCTCAAGGCTTAAAAATCTGTTTTTAACCTGTCTCCTCCCCTTTATCTACACTGATTGAAAGGGATTTAACAAGTGACATCAACAAGGGATCATAGCTTTCAACTGGATTCACCTGGTCAGTCTAAGCCATGGAAAGAGCAGGGGTCCTTAATGTTTTGTACACTCAGTGTATGTGTGTCACGCCCTGACTCAGGGGACTCTTATATGTTGAGTCAGGGTGTGTATATTCTTTGTTGTTTATGTTCTATGTTGTATATTCTAGTATGTGTGGATCTATGTTGGCTGGTGTGGTTCCCAATCAGAGGCAGCTGTCGCTCGTTGTCTCTGATTGGGGACCATACTTAGGCATCCTATTGGCACTGTCTGTTGTGGGATCTTGTTCCGGTTAAGGTTTGTTGTATCTGCCTTAGGACTTGTTGATAAGGTAATAAACATGTACACATATCACGCTGCGCCTTGGTCTGACCCGTCCTTCAACGAACGTGACAGAAGATCCCACCAAACAAGGACCAAGCAGCATGCCGAGGAGGAGCAGAGAGGATGGACTTGGCGGGAGATAAGAGAGGATCTGGCAAGGCAGATGGAGGCCCTGAAAGGGATCAGACCCGAGAGGCAACCCCAATATTTTTTTTGGGGGGGGCACACGGTGTGGACGACGAGGCAGCAGGAGGCCGTGAAAGGGCGGATCTGCAGGTTAGGAGAGGAGGCCACCATGTTACGGGGGCTGTTGGTTCAGAGGGAGCAGGAGTTATTCGGTCAGAGGGAGGCGCTACAGGAGGCTAAAAGGGAGAAGGAAAAAGTAGAGGCACGGCGAGAGGAGCTGGTTAGGCAGCAGAAGGAGCGGGGGTTAATAAAGGAACCCAGTCCTGCTCCTCGCACCAAGAAAGTGGTGCGTGTCACCAGTCCGGTCCGGCCCGTTCCTGCTCCCCGCACCAAGCCAGTGGTGCGTGTCGCCAGTCCGGCCCGGCCCGTTCCTGCTCCTCGCACCAAGCCAGTGGTGCGCGTCACCAGCCCGGCCCGGCCTGTTCCTGCTCCTCGCACCAAGCCAGTGGTGCGCGTAGCCAGTCCGGCCCGGCCTGGCCTGTTCCTGCTCCTCGCACCAAGCCAGTGGTGCGCGTCGCCAGCCCGGCCCGGCCTGTTCCTGCTCCTCGCACCAAGCCAGTGGTGCGCGTCGCCAGCCCGGCCCGGCCTGTTCCTGCTCCTCGCACCAAGCCAGTGGTGCGCGTCGCCAGCCCGGCCCGGCCTGTTCCTGCTCCTCGCACCAAGCCAGTGGTGCGCGTCGCCAGTCCGGCCCGGCCTGTTCCTGCTCCTCGCACCAAGCCAGTGGTGCGCGTCGCCAGCCCGGCCCGGCCTGTTCCTGCTCCTCGCACCAAGCCAGTGGTGCTCGTCGCCAGCCCGGCCCGGCCCGTTCCTGCCCCTCGCACCAAGCCAGTGGTGCGTGTTCCTAGTCAGGTCCGGCCCGTGCCTGCTCCTCGCACCAGACCAGTGGTGCGTTTGTCCAGTCCGTTACGTGCCCGTTCCACCGGTGCCTGGTCCGGCACCAGTCAGCTGCTCCACTCCGGAGCCAGAGCAGTCCGCTCCACCGTTGCCTGATCCAGCTCCGGTCAGCTGCGCCACTCCGGAGCCAGAGCAGTCCGCTCCACCGGGGTCCAGTCCAGCTCCGGTCAGCGGCTTCACTCCGGAGCCAGAGCAGTCCGCTCCACCAGTGCCTGATCCAGCTCCGGTCAGCGGCTCCACTCCGGAGCCAGAGTAGTCCGCTCCAAGGGTGCCTAGTCCAGCTCCGGTAGGCGGCTCCAGTCCAGACCATGACGTCAGCCCCTCTCCAGGTTCGGGGTCTCCCACACCAGGGTCCAGACAGGGCCTGGCGTATCGTGGGAGGAAGGAGAGGGGAAGTAGCGCGCCGAGGTCCAGACCAGACCAGGGGCGCAACAGGGAGGCGGAGAGTTAGAGGTCGTCACGCCCCGAGCCGGATCCGCCTCTGAGGCGGAATGCCCACCCGGCCCCTACCCTGTTATGTTTATGTTGTGCGGTCGGAGTCCGCACCTTTGGGGGGTACTGTCACGCCCTGACTCAGGGGACTCTTATATGTTGAGTCAGGGTGTGTATATTCTTTGTTGTGTATGTTCTATATTGTATATTCTAGTATGTGTGGATCTATGTTGGCCGGTGTGGTTCCCAATCAGAGGCAGCTGTTGCTCGTTGTCTCTGATTGGGGACCATACTTAGGCAGCTTATTGGCACTGTCTGTTGTGGGATCTTGTTCCGGTTAAGGTTTGTTGTATCTACCTTAGGACTTCACGTTTCGTTTCGTTTGGTTTGGTTTGTTGTTTTGTCATTGTGTTGATAAGTTAATAAACATGTACGCATATCACGCTGCGCCTTGGTCTGACCCGTCCTTCAACGAACGTGACAATGTGTGTGTTGTGCTCTTAGCCTACCTGGCATCTGGCCAATAGGCTAGCACAGTATGTGGAAAATCTCTTGCAGACCCATGGTGTGTAATCGGTGCAGTCGTCCTGTCAATGCACAGCATGGTTCCACAGGATCAATGCCATTTAGGTAAAGTGTCGAGCACAGGAGGTTGGTGGCACCTTAATTGGGGAGGATGGGCTCGTGGTAATGGCTGGAGCAGAATAAGTGGAATGGTATCAAATACATCAAGTGATTACAGTATTTGGACATTTCAATGAGAATACATGCATTTGGCATAATACTGTATCATAGGCACACAGTATCAAAGAAAAACAACTGCATGAAGATTGTAGCTAGTACTTCCTTTTAATGCTTCACTCACCTTCATACTCACAGGATTTCTATGTATACACAAAACACAGGTAATGCATTCTGGAATAAATACCCCACCAAAAAATTCCTTAGGCAATGCATGACTCTGCTACTACCCAGTATCATGCAGGGGAGAATGAATGAATACTTTATTATCCCATAGAGAAATTTGCTTGGTAGCATCACATTTTACCGGACACTCTTATCCAGAGCAACTAGGGTTAAGTGCCTTGCTCAAGAGCACGTCGACAGATTTTTCAACTAGTTGGCTCGGAAATTCGAACCAGCGATCTTTCGGTTTCTTACCCAACGCTCCTAACCGCTAGGCTACCTGCCGCTACATGCTTGGTAACATGGATGGAGCCCTTTCCTAGCCGTTCAAAGTGGTATTAAATGACAGTGTGGCCAAGCAGACCTGTTATGTCACTGCTGCCATTCAAACCCCAGATCTGTCCAAGCTGTACTGTTGTGAGGCTGAATGATGGCTGTCCGACTTACATTAAGCTTGCAGCCCCTGCCCTGCCGCAGCATCAGCATTAGTACAAGGCTGGCTGAGAGAGAGAGAGAGAGAGAGAGTGTTAGAGAGAGAGAGAGAGAGAGAGAGAGGAGAGAGAGAGAGAGAGAGAGAGAGAGAGAGAGAGAGAGAGAGAGAGAGAGAGAGAGAGAGAGAGAGATTAGTCTGATGGTGCAATGGGACTGATCTGCTTCTTATGAAGGTCTCCCTCTAAAGGCATCAGTCGGCTAGGCGAACCGAACGAGTGTGCTCGCATACTCTCTTAAAAGACCTTCGCTTGAAAAACAAGAAAAAAGCGTCAATAGTACTATTTGGCCATTTTGAGGCACCATAGCCACTGTACACTTCCTCAAAATAGTCAGAATTAATTGAAGATAACTGAAGAAATCTGTCATTAATTTTTACGTTTTTGTCGAGGAGATCTTAATCGCCCAATCTAACTAATATGTTTGGTGCAGTATTTCTCAATTTAAAAATGTGCATGAAAATGAGTCGTCTCTCGTTGAATGACAACATAGACTTTATTGAAGAATCCCTACACTTGACCAATCACGGACAAAGGGGCGTAGACTTCGGCTCCCGAACTTCGGCTGGCCAAAGTCCAAAAGGGAAAGAAAATGTCACCTAATGTCGTCATAATAGGCAAGAAACAAGCGTCAATAGTGGTCCTCTGTAGCTCAGCTGGTAGAGCACGGCGCTTGTAACGCCAAGGTAGTGGGTTCGATCCCCGGGACCACCCATACACAAAAATTTATGCACGCATGACTGTAAGTCGCTTTGGATAAAAGCGTCTGCTAAATGGCATATTATTTATTTATTATATAATATATGCATAAACCGTTCCGAATGCGGACGCCATAAGCCAGAGACATCAAAATACACCAGAAGGACATCGTAATTTCTGCGACGACCCTGTGATATTGTTTTAATAATATTAACATTCTACTTATTGTGAGGCTGACCCTGCAATATTTTGTTGTGATATTAACATTTTACTGCATTCCGAGGCAGAGTAAGATCAATACTAAAATACTTTGTGAAATATATTGCTGAAGGAATATTTTATTTCTGAAGAATATGTTTGATTGGCTAAATATTTATGAAGGTTTAAGCTGTCTTGTCTGTGACAGTGAATTTAATCAGGCATTGTGTTGCACTTCTTTTGATACAGATGAAGATAGGTTCTTATATGCAATAGGCTCTTCCATGCAAAGCATTGATATTGATATTAAATATACTAGCATAGCGTGTTTTTACAAGCTTTGTAATATCAGTTATAACAGCTATCAATATCAGTTAAAATAGTAGAAAGAGTTTCAAAAGCTCATGTTCATAATACATCTTAATGCAATGTTCTCCTCAGTACTATCCACATCAACTTCTTTGAAATGGAAGCTTTCACTAATCTTTTCACACACCCTGAGGAGTTACTGGTGGGCTATCCTCTCTGCACCGCTTCCCTTCTCCCCAGCTCCTCTTCTCAGACAGACATGGTGAGTGGAGACTGAGGAGAGAGAGTTAGAGAGAGAGGGAGGTGGAGAGAGAGGGGGAGAGAGGAGAGAGAGAGAGAGGGGAGCAAGCTGAGGCCTGGAGGTCATACACCCAGGAGTGTGAGTCCTGCCAGGGGCCTTGTAATCCAACAATCCCCTCTGCTGCTATCCCCTCCACCACCCATCTATCCTCTCCCTCCCCATCCCCCTATCCCCTCTACCCCTCCTCCATCCCTCCACCCCTCTATCCCTCCACCCCTCCTCCATCCCTCCAACCCTCTATCCCTCCACCCCTCCTCCATCCCTCCACTCCTCCTCCATCCCTCCACCCCTCCATCCCTCCACACCTCTATCCATTCCACCTCACAGCCAGACCATGGCTAACTGGATCTGCTCCCTATCACAGGGCCACAGGACACCTTTCTTCTTCTCCCTCCTCCTCCATTTCCTCCTTCTCGCCATCTTTTTATCGGATTTGTCTTGTAGCCTGTAGACTGCTCTGTCTGGGCTCTCCCCCCTGGGATGGAGGCTGAGAGCTGAGTCTGTATCCCAAATGGCACCCTATTCCCTACCTAGTGCACTACTTTTGACCAGAGCCCTGGCTGGCCTGGGGGCTGCCTGTGCCAGGGACTCGGCCTAGAGATCCAAGGCCTGGCGCTTGCGAGGACCAGACACCCCGGTGGCCGTCTCTCGCAGACTCTAAAGGCCCACCACCTAATGGGTTTAGACAAATCTGCTAATTTGTCAACAAGTTTCTGATTTCGACAAGCATATCAACAAGCTTGTCTGTCTGGCCTGACACTCGGCTGTATAGAGTCGAATCCAAGTCAAAGCCATGTGGTTGAATTCAGACTATGAAAAAGGAACTTGCCTTCTCTCTCTGTCTGTCTCTCTATCTGCACATTCGACTGTATAGTCGAAACCAAACCAAGTGAATGTTGACTATGAAAAGGAGCTTTGCCTCTCTCTGTCTGTCTCTCTGTCTTCTCTTCCGCTACTCTCAGTATAATGGTGGTTCGGTTAGAAGCACTCCAGCCAGCTCAGGTTGAATGACTGAGGGAGTACAATCCTACATTATCCAACATTATCCTCTTGGTCTAAACAGCAAGGGATGATTCCCAGGTCATTAGGAACCACTGTGACTTACTGAAGAGTGTTGCTATTTGACTGGATAAGAAGACTAGAAGCATGCAGGTGTCGCTGACTTGCTGAGTGCTTCAATTCTTATGAATAGAACAGTAACAATTGGTTCCATAATGAGCGTTCCTTGAGAATGCCAGGTAACTCCTTCCTGTCCCTTTGTGTTGTGGACAGGCCATTTATACCTGGGTGGGGTCATCCATTATTTCACTGATCGTTGGAACTTACGTCAATGTGTTCACATCACATTTACCTCCATCCATTGTGGTGATACATATAGTGTAAGACGGGCCATTACTGTATGTTTTGAGACACACCCCCTAGGGATGTACAGTGGGGCAAAAAAGTATTTAGTCAGCCACCAATTGTGCAAGTTCTCCCACTTAAAAAGATGAGAGAGGCCTGTAATTTTCATCATAGGTACACGTCAACTATGACAGACAAATTGAGAAAAAAAAATCCAGAAAATCCCATTGTAGGATTTTTAATGAATTTATTTGCAAATTATGGTGGAAAATAAGTATTTGGTCACCTACAAACAAGCAAGATTTCTGGCTCTCACAGACCTGTAACTTCTTCTTTAAGAGGCTCCTCTGTCCTCCACTCGTTACCTGTATTAATGGCACCTGTTTGAACTTGTTATCAGTATAAAAGACACCTGTCCACAACCTCAAACAGTCACACTCCAAACTTCACAATGGCCAAGACCAAAGAGCTGTCAAAGGACACCAAAAACAAAATTGTAGACCTGCACCAGGCTGGGAAGACTGAATCTGCAACAGGTAAGCAGCTTGGTTTGAAGAAATCAACTGTGGGAGCAATTATTAGGAAATGGAAGACATACAAGACCACTGATAATCTCCCTCGATCTGGGGCTCCATGCAAGATCTCACCCCGTGGGGTCAAAATGATCACAAGAACGGTGAGCAAAAATCCCAGAACCACACAGGGGGACCTAGTGAATGACCTGCTGAGAGCTGGGACCAAAGTAACAAAGCCAACCATCAGTAACACACTACGCCGCCAGGGACTCAAATCCTGCAGTGCGAGACGTGTCCCCCTGCTTAAGCCAGTACATGTCCAGGCCCGTCTGAAGTGCATTTGGATGATCCAGAAGAGGATTGGGAGAATGTCATATGGTCAGATGAAACCAAAATATAACTTTTTGGTAAAAACTCAACTCGTCATGTTTGGAGGACAAAGAATGCTGAGTTGCATTCAAAGAACACCATACCTACTGTGAAGCATGGGGTTGGAAACATCATGCTTTGGGGCTGTTTTTCTGCAAAGGGACCAGGACGACTGATCCGTGTAAAGGAAAGAATGAATGGGGCCATGTATCGTGAGATTTTGAGTGAAACCCTCCTTCCATCAGCAAGGGCATTGAAGATGAAACGTGGCTGGGTCTTTCAGCATGACAATGATCCCAAACACACCGCCCGGGCAACGAAGGAGTGGCTTCGTAAGAAGCATTTCAAGGTCCTGGAGTGGCCTAGCCAGTCTCCAGATCTCAACCCCATAGAAAATATTTGGAGGGAGTTGAAAGTCTGTGTTGCCCAGCGACAGCCCCAAAACATCACTGCTCTAGAGGAGATCTGCATGGAGGAATGGGCCAAAATACCAGCAACAGTGTGTGAAAACCTTGTGAAGACTTACAGAAAACGTTTGACCTGTGTCATTGCCAACAAAGGGTATATAACAAAGTATTGAGAAACTTTTGTTATTGACCAAATACTTATTTTCCACCATCATATGCCAATAAATTCATTAAAAATTCTACAATGTGATTTTCTGGATTTTTTTTTTCTATTTTTGTCTGTCATAGAGTACTGTTCTTTGTGTGTGTGTGACTGTAACTGTACTGTGTTTCCTTGTCACATGGTCCCAAAGACAACAATATCAATAATGAAAAGTGTTAGCAGGTGCAATAATGTATTAATTTAAATTCAATTTCCTTGTATTTACACTTCATCCTTTATTTATGATTCATTTGCTTTATGATGCATTTCTAAATCACCACCAGGCACACCTCTGTTCCAATGACAAGCTGTTTTTAGAGGGAAATCAAGAAGCAGGTGTTCAATGAGTTTGTTCTGTCTCTTGTTGTTCACACAGGCTTCCTAAGCACAGGGGACCAGGCAGCCAAGGGGAACTATGGACTGCTGGACCAGATCCAAGCCCTGAGGTGGATCAAAGAGAACATTCAGGCCTTCAAAGGAGATCCAAAGAGAGTGACAATCTTCGGCTCTGGTGCAGGGGCATCGTGTGTTAGCTTGCTCACTCTCTCTCACTACTCAGAAGGTATGTATCGGGTATTTTTAGCCCCCCAAAATATTCCCTTACCTCCTTGGAAATCATTGAGATTATATTATATTGTTTGAATCCTTAAAGTCAGTGAGTACAAGTCCTTTAAAAAAATGTATGACTCATAAAATGAATCATTCTCGGCGTCTACTGTGAGACTTACACTGCAATGAATGATTATTAATTAAATTAATATGGTCGTATGAACTTCAGCTATCATTTTAGAATGTAGTAATGAAATAAAGACCTGTGGGGAAATTATTTATTATATTTATAGCTTTATTCGATAGATATCATCAGAGGGATTTTGTTTTCAAATAGGAATATCTCTCTCACTGAGAGGGTATGGCTGTGCCTATTCCCTATATAGTGCACTACTTTTGACCAGAGTCCTATGGTGCCTGATCAAAAGTAGTGCATTAAATAGGGAATAGAGTTCAATTTGGGATGCAGCCTATGAATGATTTAAACAGTCAGGATACACCACTATGACTTTTCAGAGAACATGTAGCATCACATTTCATCGCCACATGACAGAGATAACAACTAGAGTGTGTTCACAGGTTCACCCAAGTGTAAAATATTGCCTACCTCAGTCACTAGATATTTGTGTGACCAGCCAGAGAAAAGTGGTAGGTGGATATCAAGAATATTAGAATGGTTAACCGCCATCACATTATAGTACATTTACATCTCTCTGTTTTTTATTATCATTAGAAAATAGTATCCTAGAAATGTGAGTGTCATTAACTGTCATAGTCGTTCTCCTCAGCCCAGTGCACACCACAGTGTAGAGAGGCAGACAAAGTCTACGTCCCAAATGGTATCCTATTCCCTATAGTGCACTACTTTTGTTCTGGTCAAAAGTAGTGCAATATATAGGGAATAAGATTTCATTTGGGACGCAAACAGAGATAGACAAATGAATAGCTAGCTGTGCGTTCTCTCTCTCGCTCTCTCACTCTCTTGCGCTCTCTCTTTCTCTGCAGCTGAATCTCATCAGGAGCTATTTGAGTAAATGACTGTGAAAACAGCATTACCTAATCAGTCTCCATAGGGCAAAACCCCAGATAGATCTTAACCGGCACATCTCGCAACTTCAGACTTTATTTCCATCAATATAAATCAATATCAGTTACGGCAGGAAATGGACATATCTTGCACTCGTCAATGGACTTTAATTTCTCTCCATGTCCGCTGCTGGTACTGAGTGACAATAGTGAGAGTAACCTCAGGGGAAAACATCTAGTTCTGAATTATGTCCAATAAAAAACTGAAAGCAGAGACTGAAAGCAGAGAATTCTTCTTCCATCTTCGTTCTCTCAGAAGTCCAATTCAAACATTTGCCATTCATGGTCCTACTTCCTGTTTTTAAAAGTGTGCTACTGTAGGTCATGTGAGATGATTAGAGGACTGTGTCTGCATGATGCCTCATTTACTAGGTTTTAGACTGGGCTCTGACACTTTTTTGAACTCAGCTTTCACTGGATATACTATCAATCAACTAGTTTTTATTTTATTTATATACACTTCCATTCAAAAGTTTGGGGTCACTTAGAAACGTCCTTGTTTTCAAAAGAAAAGCCTTTTTTTTGTCTGTTAAAATAGCAACAAATTGATCAGAAATACAGTGTAGACATTGTTAATGTTGGAAATGGCTATTGTAGCTGGAAATGGCTGATTTTTAATGGAATATCTACATAGGCGTAGAGAGGCCCATTATCTGCAACCATCAGTCCTGTGTTCCAATGGCACGTTGTGTTTGCTAATCCAAGTTTATCATTTTAAAAGGCTAATTGATCATTAGAAAACCCTTTTACAATTATGTTAGCACAGCTGAAAACTGTTGTGCTGACTAAAGAAGCAACAAAACTGGCCTTCTTGAGACTAGTTGAGTATCTGGAGCATCAGCACAAACCAGATGGGATGGCATATCGCTGCAGAATGCCGTGGTAGCCATGCTTGTTAAGTGTGCCTTGAATTCTAAATAATTCACTGTCAGTGTCACCAGCAAAGCACCCCCACACCATCACACCTCCTTCTCCATGCTTCATGATGGGAACCACACATGTGGAGATCATCCGTTCACCTACTCTGCGTCTCACAAAGACACGGCTGTTGGAACCAAAAATCTCAAATTTGGACTCATCAGACCAAAGGACAAATTTCCACCGGTCTAATGTCCATTGCTTGTGTTTTTTGGCCAAAGCAAGTCTCTTCTTCTTATTGGTGTCCTTTGTGTTGGACCGCAGAGTGAAGGAAAAGCAGCAAAGTGTGGAAAGCTGTCAGGAGTGTGCAAAGCTGTCATCAAGGCAAAGGGTGGCTACTTTGAAGAATATAAAATATAGTTTGATTTGTTTAACACTTTTTTGGTTACTACATGATTCCATATGTGTTCTTTCATAGTTTTGATGTCTTCACTATTATTTTACAATGTAGAAAATAGTACAAATAAATAAAAACCCTTGAATGAGTAGGTGTGACCAAACTTTTGACTGTTACTGTGTATATATATATAGTATATGAGCTGATAGGGATGGAAAAAGACACAGGTTGGGAAGCGATATTACCAGACAGTCAGGTATCTTCTTGTCCCTTTTAGCCCAGTAGTTGTCTCTCCTTAAAGGAATAATCCACCCAAAACGTATAATTTGGTATTTGTTTCGTTAGTCCACTTTTGATACTGTCCCACCCAAAATCTTTTGCATGTCAGAAATCAAGTTGTCTAGATAGAGAACTTTCAAAACACCAATTTCCACATCATCATGATGTGATGCGCTTTGCATTATATGATGCATTTTGCATCATCATGAAGATGTGGTAAGTGACAATTAGCGTTTTGAAAGTTCTTTATCTTGAAAACTTGATTGCTGACATGCAAAACATTTTGGGACTGTATAAAACGAATACCAAAATATAGTTTTTGAGTGGATTATTTCTTTAACATCCGCCACCCTGGTTCCATCACTCACACTAGGCCAAACATTTTACCAATATCCCCCAGAACCAAATCCCTCTCACGTGATTTGGTTCTGGGTTACCGAGGTTAGCCCAGTAGCCTATCACCTGGATTGGTGTTGTGAATCGGATTTGTTGTTAGTCAGGCAGCTATGTTCCTGTATCACTCCCATTAGCCATACCCAGGTGGCATGGAAGCCATAGCCCCTCATCGCTGCTCCCTATGTAGGACATGATCTGTTTCTGTTTCATGGCTCCACAGGCACGCCTCAGTAAGCAGACTGAGGTAAACACAGGAAGCATATGCAACATATTTAAATTCACTTCTGGTGAGTCAGGCTTTAACTGATTTATTCATCCAAATAGCAGAGGAAATGGGGAAATAAAACTAAATAAACCTCTGTTGCTAACTAGGCCTTGCGGGAGATGTCGGCTTCTGCGGCTTGGAAACATTCACAATGATATAAATAGAACTTAGAAAATACTGGGAAAAAATGTAACATACAAGAAGTGTTCCTAGTGCACTGTGGCCTATTTGCAGAGTGGCAGTGCCAGGCAGATCGTGAAGCTGCATGCAGCTCCAACATAATTCAGGATGAATAAGTGGCCCGAGGCCTCATTGCAGAATAAACAAATGTGTCTTTTATTTTCAGTTTGATTAATTTATTATGACCAGCGTTGACAGGATGTGGTGTCCCTGTCCCAGTCCTTAATCATCCTTTTGCTTCATCTTTTGTCAGTATAGGATAATATGCAGTCTAGATGGATCTGTCTGATTTGTATGGATCTGTGTGGATGTTACAGACGTAATGTGTATGTATTGAGCTCCCGAATGGCGCAGCGGTCTAAGGCACTGCATCTCAGTGCTTGAGGCGTCACTACAGACCCCCTGGTTCGATTCCAGGCTGTATCACAACCGGCCGTGATTGGGAGTCCCATAGGGCGGCGCACAATTGGCCCAGCGTCGTCCGGGTTTGGCTGGTGTAGGCTGTCATTGTAAATAAGAATTTGTTCTTAACTGACTTGCCTAGTTAAATAAAATAAATAATCATGCAAAAAAAAATCACTGACTACAGCACTCACCGAAGATTTTACATCAGAATTATTTAAAGTAATACCAGAAAATACCAATTATTTCTATACTGAGTAAATACCAATGTGGCTGTTCCGGGTGTGTATGTATTATTTTAGCACTTTCATTGCTAAAAGATGTTTACATTTGTGAAAAACACCAAACACCATGTCTGAGATTTGTCGTGTCTAACATCAGTTTTCTCCCCCTCAGATCTCTTCCAGAAAGCCATCATCCAGAGTGGTACAGCTCTCTCCAGCTGGGCGGTCAACTACCAGCCTGCCAAGTACACACGGATGCTGGCTGAGAAGGTGGGCTGCAACATGCTGGACACCATCGACCTGGTGGAGTGCCTCCAGAGTAAGAACTACAAGGAGCTGATCGAACAGAACATCTTACCCGCAAAGTACCACATCGCCTTCGGCCCCGTCATCGACGGCGACGTCATCCCGGATGACCCTCAGATCCTCATGGAGCAGGGCGAGTTCCTCAACTACGACATCATGCTGGGGGTCAACCAAGGCGAAGGGTTCAAGTTTGTGGAGGGCAGCGTGGACAGCGAGGATGGCATCTCGGCCAACGACTTCGACTTTGCCGTGTCGGACTTTGTGGATCACCTTTACGGCTACCCGGAGGGCAAGGACACGCTAAGGGAGACCATTAAGTTCATGTACACTGACTGGGCCGACAAGGAGAACCCCGAGACACGGAGGAAGACGTTAGTCGCACTCTTCACCGACCACCAGTGGGTGGCTCCGGCCGTAGCCACAGCGGACCTCCATGCCCAGTATGGTTCGCCAACATATTTTTACGCCTTCTACCATCACTGCCAGAGCGACATGAAGCCTAGCTGGGCTGACTCGGCACATGGGGACGAGGTGCCCTATGTGTTCGGGATCCCCATGATCGGACCCACGGACCTGTTCAACTGCAACTTCTCCAAGAACGACGTCATGCTCAGCGCAGTGGTTATGACCTACTGGACTAACTTTGCCAAGACAGGGTAGGTTGTCCAATTCAGTTTTTCTACTGTATGTCAGATTGTTTATTTGAAGTGGATAAATATCCGACATGGATCGAGAAGACACGTAGCAAGTTATGGGAGCATAGCTTCAACTACACTGAACAAATCAGTGCTTCTATAAGTACAGTAATCCCTCGTTTATCGCGGGGGTTACGTTCCGAAAATGACCCGCGATAAGTGAAATCCGCGAAATAGAAAACTTTTTTTTTTTACAATTAGCAACTATTACATGTATACAAATACAGTGACTCACGTGTAGGCCGTTTCACTGCTCTTCAGACTGGGCCGCTGCATCCTGACTGCGCTCTGCAGTGTTCTCTTCTTCTGAAGCCCGCGGTGCAGGTGTGTTTGTTCGGGAGAAGAACATAGTGATAGGCAGCTGTTGTCGCTCTTTTTTCTTCTTTGCAAAAAGATCCTTGTACACCGACATGCCACCATCGATTACGTTGGAGAACTGTAATGAACGGCTCATCAAAGGGTCCCATTCCTCAGCTACTCGCTTAAGTTCAGTGGCCATTCGCACCATGGTTGCTAAGCGACCAAGCGTTAGTCCTTCCTCCTCATCTCTCGTGTCCTCTTCTCCCTCTTCTCTTTCATCGTCGCTTTGTGGCTTTGTCATTTACCTTCCCTTAGCATGTCCAGAAGTTTAACTTTATCTGAGATAGGTAGCATCTTCCGCCGTTTGGGCCCATCCGCAGGTGCTTTTGTCGGTCCAGGCCGTTTCGTCGACATTATGGGTTTAGGAGATGTTCGAAATTACAAGATAATTTGGCCAACTTAATGTAAATTTGCCAAGCTGTTTTATGTACGTACACATAACTGCACGAGACGACAAAATGATAGCACAATTCGTAGCATGTTTTGATACAAGAAGCGGGAGTGAGTTTTTAGCGAATCAGAATGCAGAGCACAATGCACCAAAAAAAAAAAAATGCATTATGAAAATCCGCGAAATAGCGAATCCGCGATAAGTGAACCGCGAAGTGGCGAGGGATCACTGTATTGTAAATGCTTTGGTTTTCATTAAGGCTTTGCAGTTTGCAAATATCACTTGATATTTGGATCACGTCTTTGTTTCCTGAACCCTGGGATTAACCAGGTAGCAGGATGTTTGCGACCCAGTCACACTGAAAATTCATTTTAAGGTGAATAAATAAATGATTGAACAGCTTCATAGGCTGTAGCATTCCCTCCCCCAGCTCTCCGGCTTGGCTAGCGTCCACCTGATGCCAGTTCAGCAGGGGATAGATTGGCAACGTTATTGGCATGGGGAGGCTCTTTTAGTCTGAGTGTTTTTTGCTTTCCCGTAGTGCTGCTTCAAACAAAGCAGGAACCCAAAGCAAATTCATCGCTTCGAGAGTGTCCGTTTTTCACAAGAGTCTCTCCAACTGCAGGCAAATACTCCCGTTGCGATCCTCAATTTCCTTGCTAGATTGAGGGTTATCCAGAAAAAAGGCTCCCAACAACAGACAGGGGATTCGGAGGGATGAGAGGCATATCATTAACTACTCATCTCAGTGCTTTAATGTGTGGTAATATACAAAATCGAAAAGTACAATGCACAGGGAAGCGTTCTTCTTATTCGTAGTGGATACAGGACTGAACAATGAGTGAGGCGTGTGTGTGTGTGTGTGTGTGTGTGTGCATGTGTGCGTGCATGCCTGGGTGTGTGTCTGTATTTATGTGTGTGTGCTTGAATGCGTGTGTGTTGTTTCTTAGTATACACTGCACATGCAGGCTATAGTCGAAACTAAAAATGAAGACAGCTGGGAACACATGGCAGACTGGAAAAGCAGATTTTTCAACAGTCATCTGCAAAGAGAGGCTTTGTGTCAAACAGAGGGAGATAGGATTGAATACATTTGTGAGCATCTGAGTAGATACATGCAAGTATAATGTGCAAGCCCCCCCCCCCCCCCCCCAGCGAAGAGCAGAAGCTGGGTTTATTTAAATCTGTGACTTTGCTATTTCTATAAACCTGCGACGACAAGTCTCTTAGGAGGTGTAGACTAGCCCTCCATCTGAATGTACTTCTGTTATCACACAAAACAGATTGACAGCATGGTGGAAGCATATGTTTTATGGACCAACGCTTTCTACCTCTGTGTTATCTTCCTCTTATGAGATACATGTGAAGAGCTTGCTAAGTATTTATCAGTCCGACAAGCACGGGACGTCTGGAGTGTTGTCTTTATTGCAAGTCTTTGTTGGTGAAAATGGTATATTGTTACAGCAGGCGCTTCCATATGCTTCTATCAGGGCTACAGTCCTTAAGTGATATTGTACTGGGTTCCACATGTTTGAAGGAACATATGCACATACACTATGTATGGAACTATTACTAGACAGTCACCTGAATCCATTTCAGGGAGATTAGCTTAATTTACCAAGAGGTGACATTTTGACAGTGTAAAACATGTAAAATGGGAAGATGTTACTAACAAATACTGTAGTGTTTTAAAATATTCAGCAAGGCACTAGGGTTTGACATAAATATAGGTTAAAAGTACTGTGAGCAATATACCCATTTTGGTAACATCTTTGCAATTGTATTATGGTGAATGTGGCCCATGATGTTCAAAGAGTGATACAACGAAATGTACAGGTTCTCTCAAATAGAATGAAATAGCAAAATGATACAAGGTTAGCTTTGTATTGAATAATAGCATATTGAATCAGATCTAATTGAATCCTGCTCTCCAGGGATGCACAGACATACACCAATTTTTTCTCTCTCTGTCCCCCCTTCCATTTACAAATGAATGACATACTTAGATCCTGCTGTAATCGGTAATGACAGGATTAAACAGTGCTCCATCAGCCGGAGATACTGTCATGCTGGATTAGCCAGTAAAATATCTCCTGATCCCCTGAGACCACTGTTATCTAGTAGGCCACCTGATGGACGGACGGAGCTGTAATAAAAGCAGCCTTCTCACAGTCTCACAGTCTCTCTGTACTGTAAGAGCTCGTTTTGGAAGCAGAGCAGACCCCTGGGTACATACCTATTTTGACGTCTATCAAATACATTTTAGCATTGGCACTAGTCTGCCTGGAGTGCCAGGTGGGCGGGGTTTGCCGTTTTCTGCCTATTCAATCGGTTTCATTGGGTCAGGCATGCTAAATCAAAACCCAGCTAAAGTATTTGAAATGATTTCAAATACTATTTGAACCCAGGTCTGCATCCGAGCTCATCTTGAAAGGTCTGATGGGTCCTGAGTGTCCCCTGGTGCCTGAGTGCAGTGCATGACTCAAGATGAGGCCTTTCTTTCTGTTCAGCATTCAGCTGGACATTCCCCCTTCCCTTTCCATTCCTCTTACCCTTCCACTCACTCGACAGTGTCAGGCTCCAAGGTTGTCGTCTCGACTGTACTCCTCGCCTCTGTCTCCCTTCGAAAGTTAATGAAATCACAGTCACAATGTCACAGGAGAGTTGCTTGATTCCAACACTGAGGCTGTCCACTATAACATCTACTTCACAATGTCAATGGGAGAATAAAAAGCCTGCGTTACAGAAAAATGTTAACATGATCTAGGACATTGGGACATTTCATACTATTACACATTTTTCCTATGAATCACAGAGGTGTTTGTTATGAACGTTAAAATGGGGGCACAGGATATGCTTTGTATTAATCAATTATATGAGTCTTGTAACTGTACAGTAGGATGACTCAGCTCTAAAGTGAATCTAATGGACAGTTTTAGTGGCCATTTTGTGACTTCATCTTCTTTTTACTTTAATGAAGATTCCCTTGAGTAGGCTTAAAGAAACACAAAAAAATTATTACAGAGTTAATAATGACCACATTGACTCACTTGGGAGGAATATAACATAACACTTCTTTCTAGTATATTTTAAATATTTTGGGTCAATCATTTTCAATTTCACGAGCATTGACTTCACAAGCCTAGAGATAAAATAGTGCTTTGGTGGCAATTATTCAGAATACTGCCCTTTTCTCTTTTTCTGTCTTTTTTAAACCTTTTGTAGAATACGGTCCTGAAAAGAACAATTGTATAATACATTCGTAATTACAAATGTTTTTTTATCTTCTCTATTTCAGAGATCCAAACCAGCCCGTTCCTCAGGACACCAAGTTCATCCATACAAAACCCAACCGCTTTGAAGAGGTTGCCTGGTCGAAGTACAACCCCAAGGACCAGCTCTACCTGCACATCGGCCTGAAACCCAGGGTCAGGGACCACTATCGGGCCACCAAGGTAGCCTTCTGGCTGGAACTAGTTCCACACCTCCACAACATAAACGAGTTGTTCCAGTACGTATCCACAACGACCAAGATACCGCCGCAGGACACCACCCCGTTTCCTTACACCAAGCGTTTCCCGGGCAATCGGCCATCTACCACCCGCCACCCTGGGGTTCCCTCCGCCAACACCAAGCAGACCACCGACCAGCGGAAAGGTGAGGACCTCACAGACGAATCAGCAGTGGTTATCGAGACTAAACGGGACTATTCCACAGAGCTGAGCGTCACCATCGCCGTGGGAGCCTCGCTGCTCTTCCTCAACATCCTGGCGTTCGCGGCACTCTACTACAAGAAGGACAAGCGGCGGCACGAGTCAAACCGGCGCGGGCCGAGCCCACAGCTTAACTCCGCCGGGCCAGCCAACGCGGTGGCCAACGCCAATGACATCGCCCACTTGCAGAACGAGGAGCTGATGTCCCTGCAGATGAAGCAGCAGCAGCAGATGGATCACGAGCACCACCACGAGTGTGAGTCGCTCCAGGCCCACGACACGCTGCGCCTCACTTGCCCGCCCGACTACACCCTCACACTGCGTAGGTCGCCAGACGACATCCCCCTCATGACGCCCAGCACCATAACCATGATCCCGAACTCGCTGGCCGCCATGCAGCCACTTCATAACTTCAACACGTTTGGCGGCAGTCAGAACAGTACCAACCTGCCCCATGGACACTCCACCACCAGGGTATAACTCTATGTGGAGAAGACAGAGTCAAACGTCTATGTGGCCTGGCCTATGTTGGACAAACACTAAGAAAAGCGAGAAGAGTGACTGACTGTGTTTCACACAGAACTCATCTCAGTGGATGAGATGTTATTTTGCTACCATGCCTTCTTGAACAGTATATCAAAGTCAAATATGAACTTCTAATGACATGTTTGAAAAGTGAATGTTACTATAGTAATACTGTTTTTGGAGCGAAGCTTCTCGAATGAATCGAAGAGAGTTTTACCAAAAGAGCAACAAGTGGAATCATCTGCTTTAGAATGCTTGAATAGACAATACAAAACATGAAGGGTTACAGTGATGACAAGGATTACTCAAAAAGCTTTTTGTGCCATCATGTACATCATAGTACAAAAACACACAATTGTACAGTGAAATACCACTCTACTGCATTGGTAAAGTATGACAGACTAATCATGGGCACTGAATTTAAAACTCCCCCCAGCCTGAAATGTATTTATGAAAACTTTGTAAAAAACTAAAAACAGTATATAGTTGTGAGTAAAAAATAAACAAAAATGAGTACTTTAAAGAGCTTATATTGTTGTTTGAGTTTAACTATGGCTTTTCCAAGCGTGTTCTTTCTGTTGAGGTGTGTGTAAATAAACAGTATCAATCATTATCCATTTTTTTGTATTAAAATCTGTTGAATTGTTTTCACAGCAGCAGAAAAAAAGTGCAAACACTATCCATTTTGGGAGCATACTGTGCATCGTCTAGACAACCATTATAACGTCCTGTGTATCTTTTGTATCCATTTCTGACACAATGCATGTCTGAGAACTGCTTTATAATCTACATTTTCAGACAGCATTCTGATTCTGTCTCAAAATGAGGTTTGATAGTGAGTCCCTTTTTTTGTCACCTGATTCATCTCGTTCTGCTTTTAATCATTTTGTTTGTAGGGTTTTTATGTCTAGCAACAATCTCACCACTGCCTGAGCTTCAAATGTGACCAGCAATGTATTACTTAGAAAAAAGGCAGTGGATTTTGGTATCAATATTAGTTGGATATGTTTGTAAAGAAGTATATGTTAGATATTTCAAATTGTCATATGCTAGCAATATGTAAAGTATTGTGCCAGGCTTTTGATATGTTGGGTTACTACTACATAAGTGAATGAGTGTAAATAATAAAAATGATAAATGATATTGATATTATTAATAATAACAATTATAAGTACAATAAAAAGTCAACATTAACCCAAATTCTTTCAGTTCTGCATCCTATTACAGAAAAAAACTAAAGCAAGTACATATAAAAAGGTTTATAATAATGCTACATTTATAAATTTAATGAAAGATATATCCTTACCATTGGTCCATCAACTGTCAAGATACCAAGGGTTTTGATGTAGGATTTGAAATGATTTAGTTTGTCTGATATTGTTTGCGGTTTTGCCTTAAGTGATAGATGATATTTCTGGCTGGACACCTGTATAAAGATTTTCTGCAACATTTTTAATAAAATATCACAGTATTTTCTAAAGAAAAGCTTCATGGAATTTTTTTTTTATGTGTGTGTGCCAGTCTGTGTAACAAATGTTAGATGATATGCAGGATTTGGAACATGTGCTATTGAATAAGACTCCTTGTTCATTTGCTATCAAACACAATGAAGACATGCATTTCCATATAAATGGATATACTGTATCTTGTTGCAATTCCGTCCTTTACTCCTATTCACTTTGTGCAGATGCACTCTTCAAGAACCACATGACGTTATCAATTAAGAGTTGGCAATGGCAATTTAACAACCAAAACTTTTAAAATGTTAAATTGGAATTTGCAAATAGTTTAGCCAAGCCAAATCCACTGACTTGCAGACTTGATAAATTGCCACTCTGCTCAGTAAGGGGAAAGAAAAAACAGGCACACTTATGAGCTGAATTGCCAAGTGTGTAGCTGCATTGGGTTTGCAGGGTCTCTAGTGGTATTTGCATACAAGGGTTTGCATCCTGTATGGCGTAGAATTGCTTTGCAATGCTGTCCCTCCCTCCTTCCCACGGTCAATGTATTGATCTCTCTTTCAAACAACCCAAGCAAATTAGCTTTTCACTTAAAACTAACTTGACAGCAGGAAAATCTTTAATAGTTGTTTTACAGTTACTGGGGCGAAGTAGATGTCTCTATACAACATTTGAAGACCTCCAGTGTATAAGGCCCAGATGCAAGAGGCTGGGGGAGAAGAACATCGTTGTCATTATGAGGCAGAAGAAAAAGTGCCAAGATCATTTCATATATGTTGTCTTCATTATCTTCACACCCTGTCTGGTCTGGTTATGTCTCAAACTACATGTTCAAATATTTATCTTAAGACAACCAATGAAAACACAGGACCATGCATGGAGTGTGTCTGTAGAGTAGACCAGGGCTTCGTTCCAAATTACACCCTATTCCCTTTACAGTGCACTACATTTGACAAGAGCCCTATGGCCCTATAAAGTGAATAGGGTGTCATTTTGGACGCTCAAACAGCTCTTCTTCTTAATTGGCATGTTGTTTATGCTAGGGGTAATGGTGTGGGGTTCACTGAGCATGAATACTCCAGACTCGACTGGAAGTTAATTAAGCCGGCTACTGAGTTCCATCACTCAGCTCAGAGTCAGGCAGCTCAGCCTGGGACATGCTCAACTCGGTCCTACCACTGTCTGTCATTCAAGTCCCTCGGCTCTCCAAGCAGCCATTACCGAGCGGTATCGATCGCCGCGGTGACAAGGTAGCGAACCAAATAAAGAGTGGGCAGGAATGAGGGAGGGGTTGGACTCTGACCCTGACCAGCCTATAGCTCGCTAGTACACAGCTACTGATACTACTACACCCTCCCTTCACATTACTGCTGTGTGTGTTTTTTTTATTCTTACCATGAATTAAGATGCAGGTAAATACCCCTTGCATCGAAGTCAGTTGATTGCATTCCCTCCCTAGGTTGCAGGACCCTAATAGATGAATATGAAATCTTCTGAGCCAATATATATGCTGAACAGTTAAGTGGAGAGGAACTCTCATCTGTGTGTGGTGCAGACCTGACTGGCTGCCAAGGTAATGATAATGTCCTAGAGAAAATTCCCTTTTACTTTTTCACGCTTTCACTTTGAGAAAAATAGTGTCCTTTTCACCTTCTCAGTACTTGCCAATAGTTTTCAAATCAGTTGTGCAGAGAGAGAGAGAGATATGGAGCTATTTCAGTGCCAACATTAATTTTATTTGGATTCCATAATGTCGATTTTATATTAGGATATTGAATTAGAATTCCATAATTTAGAATATGTATTAAGATATTGAATTAGAATTCCATACTTTTGAATTTGTATTAGGATATTGTAGTTGAATTTAAGACTTTGAATTTGTAATGCACAAATGTAATCATTGAATTCATAAATTGAACTTGTATTTCAAGATTTAAAACTGAATGGAATGAATAACAGAAAAAGACAGGAACCTTCCAGCTAGCCATGATTGGCTGAGATAATGGATGGGCTGGACATGCCAAGAGATGAGTTCAGATTTGTCTGCCATGTAGCACGCTTCTTTCTATAACGTGAGCTGCTCAGTATGTGTAGATAATCTTTTCTACCACATCTTTTTTTTGAAATATATAACGTTTGCCATGGAGAACTGTGTTGCTACTGCTCTAAACAACATTGCTGCCCAGAATTTAGCAGGCGCTATTGACAAAGATCAGTGGGAAACAAAAACATATGGAAATGTCTGCTCTACCCAAAATTACAACCAAATAATTGCAGCATTACCGCAAAAATGGAAGAGGGAAGTGGAAGGGGGAGAAAGTAAGGAACTTGTCTGTTGGCCTTGCATTAAATAACATAATTGGTTAAAGAAAACTGTGATAAATAAAAAAGTATACCAGTTTCATTTAAGGACCAAAGGATTGACAGCCGTCCCATATAGATTACAAAATAGTTGGGAAGAGATTTTTGACGTACCGATCCCATGGCATAGTGTTTATGAGCTGATATGCAAAACGACACCGGATTCAAAACTTACTATATACATTTTATGGACACAGTCAATTTTACAATAAATAATCCAAAGATTTTCTATTGGGTTCAGGTCTGGAGACTGGCTAGGCCACTCCAGGACCTTGAGATGCTTCTTACGGAGCCACTCCTTAGTTGCCCTGGCTGTGTGTTTCGGGTCGTTGTCATGCTGGAAGACCCAGCCACGACCCATCTTCAATGCTCTTACTGAGGGAAGGAGGTTGTTGGCCAAGATCTTGCGATACATGGCCCCATCCATCCTCCCCTCAATACGGTGCAGCTGTTCTGTCCCCTTTGCAGAAAAGCATCCCCAAAGAATTATGTTTCTACCTCCATGCTTCACGGTTGGGATGGTGTTCTTGGGGTTGTACTCATCCTTCTTCTTCCTCCAAACACGGCGAGTGGAGTTTAGACCAAAAAGCTATATTTTTGTCTCATCAGACCACATGACCTTCTCCCATTCCTCCTCTGGATCATCCAGATGGTCATTGGCAAACTTCAGACGGGCCTGGACATGCGCTGGCTTGAGCAGGGGGACCTTGCGTGCGCTGCAGGATTTTAATCCATGACGGCGTAGTGTGTTACTAATGGTTTTCTTTGAGACTGTGGTCCCAGCTCTCTTCAGGTCATTGACCAGGTCCTGCCTTGTAGTTCTGGGCTGATCCCTCAGCTTCCTCATGATCATTGATGCCCCACGAGGGGAGATCTTGCATGGAGCCCCAGACCGAGGGTGATTGACCGTCATCTTGAACTTCTTCCATTTTCTAATAATTGCGCCAACAGTTGTTGCCTTCTCACCAAGCTGCTTGCCTATTGTACTGTAGCCCATCCCAGCCATGTGCAGGTCTACAATTTTATCCCTGATGTCCTTACACAGCTCTCTGGTCTTGGCCATTGTGGAGAGGTTGGAGTCTGTTTGATTGAGTGTGTGGACAGGTGTCTTTTATACAGGTAACGAGTTCAAACAGGTGCAGTTAATACAGGTAATGAGTGGAGAACAGGAGGGCTTCTTAAAGAAAAACTAACAGGTCTGTGAGAGCCGGAATTCTTACTGGTTGGTAGGTGATCAAATACTTATGTCATGCAATAAAATGCAAATTAATTACTTAAAAATCATACAATGTGATTTTCTGGATTTTTGTTTTAGATTCCGTCTCTCACAGTTGAAGTGTACCTATGATAACAATTACAGACCTCTACATGCTTTGTAAGTAGGAAAACCTGCAAAATCGGCAGTGTATCAAATACTTGTTCTCCCCACTGTATGTATGTATGTATGTATGTATGTATGTATGTATGTATGTATGTATGTATGTATGTATGTATGTATGTATGTATGTATGTATGTATGTATGTATGTATGTATGTATGTATGTATGTATGTGTGTATGTATGTGTGTATATATGTGTATGTATATATATATATATATATATATATATATATATATATATATATATAAACATGGGGGATTGGAAGTGATGCAGACAATTACATTGATGGAAGTTACAATCTATCTGCAATATTAAACTGATCTACCAACCCCCCCCCCCAAAAAAAAGATCAGTGGGAAAAAGTTGTGATGTACTAGTTTTTGCACATGGTCAGTGTGAACCGTGGTGTCTTGACACAACAACTGGCCAAATAAGCTGTAGCTAGCTACAAAGCAAACGGAAAAGACACTCTGCCGTGAAGTGCTCATCCATGTATACCGGTAAGAGTCTAGCTACATTTTCAGATATTATACATTTCTAATTTGTCAGAAAGTCATTTTCATTGCAAGTTAAAACGTACTGTTAGCTAGCTAGCGAACGTTTGCTTGCTGGCTCGCTAGCTAGTTAATGTTACGTGTATGATCTGTGTAGTAATATTATTTGTATCTCAGAAATTTGCATTACTAATTATAGCCTAATGTTAGCTAGTTAGCTAATGTTGAACCTATTTGGTTAGCTTTAGCTACCTGCAGATTCATACTCCAAGCATTTCATGCATGGTGGCTAGCTATGACAATCCGTTTGTACTGTAGCTATGGGTTGGGATTATGGTTCATTGTTTAGCTAGCTAGCTACATGTCTAAACAAAAGACTCTACTTTACCAGATGATCACATGACTCATCAAGTTAGCCAGGTGTGTCAGGGGGTGATTACGGCCATCTATTGTATTTCATGAACATGTGTACATGTCTAGACACTTATGACCCATGCACTTATGACTAGATGAGGCTGGGGGGTGGTTATAGCATTTCTTTCATATGACCCATCAATTTAGACATGTGTCTAGGTAAGCATCATCTAATAATTATATCATATTTATACAATATTATTAGATAAAGTGTATTTTTACCTGGAGTTTTTCCTTATTTTAGGCTACTATTTTCACCACTTTTAGTCTTGAAATCATTGGTTTTTTACTACACTACCTTACTCACTCTGTTTAGCACATGGCCTCCGCTATGATGATCACAGGCCGTGCAAGATACGT